TCCCGGCTAGGTTTTTGGTTTTATTTTTTAGTATGATGATCTGGGGGGTTTCAACACCGTGTTAGCCAGGATGGTCCTCGATCACGTTCGCTGACCGGCGTGCCGTGATCCGCCATCCCGTACTCGGCCTCGACAAAGTGGCTGGGATTACACGGGCCGAAGCACACCCCGCGCGCCGGCCAATCTCAGGGCCAACCAGCTTCGCCTTCAGCAGGCGCCGAGCGCACAGTGGGAGTGCACCTGAGGGTCAGGAGGTTCAAGACCAGCGATGGCAACATGGCAAAACTCTGTCGCACTAAAAATACAAACAATTCAACCCAGATATGGTGGTAGGCTCCTGTAGGATCCGCAGCAACTCAGGAGGCACTGGAGCGCAGGAGAATCAGGCCTTGAAAGGCCTGGCAGTGGAGGCTTGCAGGTGAGGGCGCAAGATCCGCACCAGTCGCATCCCAGGCCCTGGCAAGGAAGAATGGGCCGGAGACGGAGACTCCCGTGCTCAAAAAAAAAAAAAAAAAAACCGAAAAATTTCCCGGTGCTTCCCCAAACTTTTCCAACATGCTCATTATTTAGCTGGCATAATAAATTTGACCTGCTAATACAGGCTTTCCAGTCAGACAGGTTGGAGACTTAATCCCTGCCTTGACAACTTCTAGTGACCTTGGGTACATTACTTAGTCTTTTCGAGTCTCAGTTTCCTCACTGTAAGACACGAATAATAATACATACTTCTTAGAGCCATTGTGAGGATAAATAGGTTCGTGTATGTATGAGGTGCACAGGGTTTGGCATGTAGTAATGCCAGAATAAATCTCAACTGTAATTACAGAAATAAAGCAGTGAGGGCCGGGCGAGGTGGCTCATGCCTGTAATCCCAGCACTTTGGGAGGCAAAGGCGAGTGGATCACCTGAGGTCAGGAGCTCGAGACCAGCCTGACCAAAATGCTGAAACCCTGTCTCTACTAAAAATACAAAATTAGCCAGGCATGGTGGCCAATGCCTGTAATCCCAGCTACTCGGGAGGCTGAGGCAGGAAAATCGCTTGAACCCAGGAGGCGGAGGTTGCAGTGAGCTGAGATTGCGCCACTATACTCTAGCCTGGGTGACAGAGCAAGACTCCATCTGAAAGAAGAAAGAAAGAGAGAAAGAAAGAAAGAAGTGAATGTATATCCTGCCAACATTTATTCTTCAAATTCTTAAATATGTGTGTATATGTACACATATACATATATACACATACACATATATAATTATCATAAGGAAGGAAAGTTTTATAGGTAAAACATATGCACAAATATTTGTGTAAAAAAGACTTTGAAATTACAATTTTTGCCTTTTAACCAATTATGTATTTTACTAACTGAAATATATAGAAACTGTCTGCATTTATGGTATGGCCCCTATGCTGCTTAGACCAAGAGTTCTAAGAATATGTATTATTTTCTGTGTTCTCCTTTAGCTTAAAAGCTGATACAATTTTTTAAACTGTCAAACAAAATTAAACGTTTTAATATATGTGCCCATAATTCTTAGGAGAAGTTGGGTGATTATTGACAAAAGATGATATGAATGATAGGGTATCAAAATTCCCTGATAGGTAAATATCAAATAAATAGTTTTCACAATTCAGTAACAAAAAGAACAATAACCCAAAAGAAAAATGGGCAAAGGACATGAAAAGACCTTGTTTTGTTTTTTCTTTTACAACTTTTATTTTAGTACCAGGGGTACATGTGCAGGTTTCCTACCAGTGTATATTGTGTGGTGCTGAGGTTTGGGGTATGATTCAGCCCATGACCCAGGCAGTGAGCATCGTTGTAGGTTTTCAGCCCTCCCCACCCTCTAGTAGTCCCCAGTGTCTATTGTTACCATCTTTTTTTTTTTTTTTTTTTTTGAGACAGACTTTCGCTCTGTTGCCCAGGCTGAAGTGCAGTGGCGCGATCTCGGCTCACTGCAAGCTCCGCCTCCCGGGTTCACGCCATTCTCTTGCCTCAGCCTCCCCAGCAGCTGGGACTACAGGCCCCCGCCACCACGCCCGGCTAATTTTTTGTATTTTTAGTAGAGATCACTGTGTTAGCCAGGATGGTCTCGATCTCCTGATCTCCTGATCCGCCCGCCTCGGTCTCCCAAAGTGCTGGGATTACAGGCATGAGCCACCGCGCCCAGCCTATTGTTACCATCTTTATATCCATTTGTACCTAGTGTTTAGCTCCCATTTATAAGTGAGAACACATGGTATTTTGTTTTCTGTTCCTGTGTTAATTCACTTAGGATTATGACCTCCAACGGCATCCATGTTGCTGCAAACGACATGATTTCATTCTTTTTATCACTGCATAGCATTCCATGGTGTGTATGTACCACATTTTCTTTCTCCATTTCACCATTCGTGGGCACCTAGGTTGGTTTCATGTCTTTGCTATTGTGAATAGTGCTGTGACGAACATATGCGTGCATGTGTCCTTTTGGTAGAACAATTTATTTTCCTTTGGGTACATACCCAGTAATGCGATTGCTAGGTTGAATGGTATTTCAACTCTTCTTTTTTTATTTTTTATTTTTTTTTTGAGACCGAGTCTTACTCTGTCACCCAGGCTGGAGTACAGTGATGTAATCTTGGATCACTGAAACCTCTGCCTCCTGGGTTCAAGTGATTTTCATGCCTCAGTCTTCAGAGCAGCTGGGATTACAGTTGTGTGCCACTATGCCCAGCTAATTTGTGTATTTTTAATCTGCCTGCCTGGGTCTCCCAAAGTACTGAGATTACAGGTGTGAGCCACAGCGCCCAGCCTCAACTCTTATTTCTTTGAGAAATTTCCAAGCTGCTTTCCACAGTTGCTGAATTAATTTACATTCGCACCAACAGCATGTAAGTGTCTGTTTTCTCTGCAGCCTCACCAACATCTGTTAGTTTTTGACTTTTTAACAAAAACCATTCTGACCAGTGTGAGATAGTGTCTCATGGTGGTTTTGATTTGCATCTCTTTGATGATTAGTGATGATGAGCATTTTTTCATGAGTGTGTTGGCCACTCGTGTATCTTCTTTTGAGTAATGATGAAAAGACATTTTGTAGGAAAGGAAATATAAAGGTCTCTTAAACATAGGAAAATGTTTCTTCTCCTCACCCTTCTCCCTACCCCTTCAGCTGCTTGCTGAGCAGACCTTATCCCTGCTTCACCTATTCCAAGCTCTTAATCACCACCTGACAAACTGTATTTCCTTGTTTGTTTACTGTTTCAGTGTCCTTCCTGAAACATAATCTCCATGAGAGCAGGGACCATTCTAGGTACAGGGGATATGCAAGGAGACCCTCGGATATACTTTTGCATATCCCCTATACCTAGCACAATGTCTGATACATAATAGGTACTCAGCAAACATTTGTTGCAATGAATTAGTGAGTTTTACTCAAAATGCAAGAAAGATGAGTTACAGGATAGTATTTTTTTAACCTAGGAAATGAGGAAAACTAAAAGAAAACTGGGTAACACACTATATGAGGAAGATTGTGGTCAAATAAGTACTTTCATGCATTGCTGATGGCAGTGTAAATTGCTTAACCATCCACGGAGGGCAGTTTGGAAATATTAATCAAGATTACAAATGCGACCAGGCATGATGGCTCACGCCTGTAATCCCAGCACTTTGGGAGGCCAAGACAGGCGGATCATGAGGTCAGGAGATCGAGACCATCCTGGCTAACATGGTGAAACCCCGTCTCTACTAAAAATACAAAAAATTAGCTGGGCGTGTTGGCGGGCACCTGTAGTCCCAGCTACTTGGGAGACTGAGGCAGGAGAATAGAGTGAAACTGGGAGGCAGAGCTTGCAGTGAGCAGAGATCGCACCGCTGCATTCCAGCCTGGGCGACAGAGCGAGACTCCATCTCAAGAAAGAAAGAAAGAAAAAAAAGATTACAAATGCTGGCAGAGCACAGTGGCTGACGCCTGTAATCCCAGCACTTTGGGAGGCCGAGACAGACAGATCACCTGAAGTCAAGAATTCGAGACCACCCTGGCCAACATAGCAAAACCCTGTCTCTACTAAAAATACAAAAATTAGCTGGGCATGGTGGTGGGCACCTGTAATCCCAGCTACTCAGGAGGCTCAGGCAGGACAATCGCTTGAACTCAGGAGGCAGATGTTGCAGTGATCTGAAATCGCACCACTGCACTCCAGCCTGGGCAACAAGAGTGAAACTCTGTCTCAAAAAAAAAAAAAAAAAAAAGATTACAAATGCATATATTTTTGACTCAGCAGTATTAGTTCTACATATTTGTCTTACCCATATATTTACAGAAATAATTCTTTACAAAATTATTCTTACAGTGCTTATAACTGCAAAAGAAACAAAGAAAAGGAAAAAAGAAGGCAGCCTAAAGATCCATCTGTAGGGAATTGGTTAAATTATTGTTCATCTATATAAGAGAATGTGGTGCAGCCATAACAAAGAATGCAGAAGCTCTGTTTTTAAAAAAATTGCTATTTATTTCCTAGGAAATATGTACCACTATTG